CATCAAGTAATCCAGGGAACATAACTCTCATGTTTTATATTGCAAAACCATTTTATGTTAGACCACCACAGAGATGGAAATATCAATACGATTTTTAGTAGCAACCGAACACTGAATTTTCTTAATTCATCACATTGAAAAAATACCCTACTCCTTATTAAATTCCCCTGCACCACATCCCCATATTTGACCTTGGCATGGGGATAGTGTACTTGCTCCCAGTTAAGCCTCACAACATGCTGTGGGGTAGGTACATTTCCTCCTGTACAGAGGGGGAAATTGAGATACAGGGGCTAGCGGTCTCTTATATTGATCACCGACAGCTATCGTTGACTTTGCCACCCAAGCTCTTAGGTTTTTGACCCAGTATTCTGCCACTCCTGTACTAAAAATATAAAATAGGGGTAATATTGTCAGTAAAACAAACACATATCACTGCTGGTAAAGGGAAATTACTTAGGACAGAGGGGAAAATTAAGCTAGTTGTAAATCTGGGAGTTTTCCACATTGCAACTTGGTGCACAAGCCACATGGGTATGCATATCAGAAAACGGGATGAGATAACAGTTTTGAGTCCATAATGCAGTTGTCACAAAGTGCAATTCTAATCTATGTATCCATAGTAGGGTTGACAGGTGTCCGGTTTTCGACCGGAATGCCTGGTCTCCAGTCAGCACCGCTGACCACAACATTAAAAGTCCGGTAGGTGGTGCAGGCAGGCTCTCTACCCATCTCCATGTGATTCCCGGGAAGCTGCCGGCATCTCCCTCTGGATCCTAGGCAGAGGGATAGCCACGGGGGCTCTGTGTGCTGCTCCCACCCCTAGAGCCAGCTCAGCAGCTCCCATTGGCCAGGAACCACTGCCAATGGGAGCTGAGAGGGCGGTGCCTGCAGGCGCGGGCAGCGCGCAGAGGCATGTGGTCATGCCTCTGCCTAGAATCCGGAGAGAGATGTCACTGCTTCCTGGGAGCCGCCTGAGATAAGTGCCTGCACCTCCAGCCCAGAGCCTGTACCCCCTCCCACAGCCCAACCCCCTACCCCAGCCTGCAGCCCTCTCCTGCACCCCAAACCCCTTATCTCTGGCCCCACCCCAGAGCCCGCAGCCAGAGCCCTCACCTCCTCTCAAACCCCAACCCCCTATCCCAGCCCGGTGAAAATGAGCAAACGAGTGAGTGTGGGGGAGAGCGAGTGATGGAGGGAGGGGGGATGGGATGAGGAGGGTGGGCGTTACCTTGGAGAAGGGGCGGGGCGGGGGGTGGGTCAAGGGTGTTCCTTTTTCTGCAAATAGAAAGCTGGCAACCCTAATCATAGTCTTTTTTTTTTTTAAACCAAAGGTTATCAAAAATAGTTAAATAGGTGAGAATCTAAACATTGTTATAAAGGAAAAGTTGACAAGAAGCACTGAGGTGTCACACAGATACAGATGTCTCTTTCCATTTCTCTGTCCTGGAGCTTTTTTTGCCAGAGTTTGACTCGCCATTGAAACAGCACACTGCTGCTAATCCTTGGCGACTGGCTATGTTTTCCAAGTAGCAGATAGATATAGGCTAAACAGACAACCAGCTGTTGGCAAACAGTCCTCTCATGAACAGTGTAATAAAGTCTTACGATCTACGGCTAAGTTCTCCGATGGCTACGCTTGTTTTGAAGTTGAAGGAGAGTTGTCCGTGGAAAGTGGGGGATCAGATAATTGCTCCTATAAATAAAGGATTTGTGTTTGCCCATTTAACACCAAATTAAATTATATTCAGTGATACAGAAAACTACTTTAAAAACTGATTTAAACTGTGTTGCGTTTTTGGGGAAGGTTTATAAAAATATTCATACTTGTTAAAACTTCCTCTTGGAAATTAAAGTGAAGCTTGGTTCTGAATAGCGTATTAGACCGTATGGTGATTATTAAAAACCAGTTAATCAAGGGGAATAGGTGAACTGAGAACACTGGGAACCACTGACTCGAGCTAGCGTGCTAAAAATAGCAGCATGGACTTTCCAGTTTGGTTTCCAGCATGGGTCCTCAAGCCCACCCAATTCCCTAGGCTTGAGAGCCTCAGCTCCAGCCCAAGCTGCAACATCCCACTGCTATTTCTAGCCTAGTTTGAGCCCCACTAACACAAGTCTGTCTACCCTGGCTTGGAGGCTCATTCCTAGCTGGAGTGCAGACATACCCTCAGGAGCCCTGTTTCCATTGGTTCCCCTGCCACACCTGCTCTGTGTGCTCCTTCCAATGCAGCTCAAAGCACCCAATCCTGCATGATGCCTCCTGCTGGTCTGCTTATGTATAGCAAAATCATTGCTGAGGTATCCATCCAAGTCAGTGGGAAATGAAACAGCTCAGCACCTTGCAGGTAAGTGCTCTGAGTGTGGAATGACAGTTAATGATGCTGTGAGCAGCAGTAACTTGCATGCCATGTTAGGGAAGAAAATCCACTGGGTTCAGAGTGGAGTTTATTGTGGAAAGGCTTTGAGGAAAATTAAAGGTGACTCTGAGAAGGCCACCAGACATCATGCCCTTGTTTTTCGTCTGAGGAGGGATATTGGTTTTAGACATTCTTAAGTTCTAACAACCCACACCGTCCTGTAGCCACATATCACAAGGGGTTTTTCTTGAGGTCAGACCATAGTTCTCAAAGCAACACAGTGATTTTCTTGTTCAGAGGAAAAGTAGAGAGCTGACTCTTTGAGTTCCTAGATTAGTCAGAACAAAGTACGTTGACAAGATGTAATTGCTTCCGTTGTGAGGAAAGGTGGAACCTCTGTTGTTTTGAAGTTCTTTGAGACCCTGTCTTCTGATCTAAAGCTGGTCACCTTAGACGTGCTATTTACGCCTGTCGGTGAGATAAGACCCTCTTGTAAAGTTCACACTGAGTTAAAGAAAAGAGGAAATATATGTTGTTAGCAGCTATTCCCTTAGCTTTCATCATGAGGCACTCTACATAGAGATGTCATAATTGCCATATTGGAACAGACCATCCGTTTAGTCTGCTCCTCTAGTGAAGGTAGAGGCATTACCCTATACTTGTGCATCAAGGAAGGTGAAAGCCCCTGTCGGCCTTTCCTAATGCTTCTGGACAATTATGTAATGATATTCTATAGGGCGAAAATCTCCCTTGCTGACCCCAGTTAGCAGTCAGTTTATACTGTATGTCGGAGGTAGGGTGACCAGATAGCAAGTGTGAAAAATCGGGACGGGGGTGGGGGATAATAGGAGCCTATATAAGAAAAAGACCCAAAAATCAGGACTGTCCCTATAAAATCGGGACATCTGGTCACCCTGGTCGGAGGCCCATGTCAATTTATAACCAAGTTAAACTGCAAATTATTTTTATTCATGTAAATGTCTAATCCTTCTCTGTTAACCTAGTGTCGAATTCTGCCTTCAGACATACGTGTAACTCCCATTGATTTCACAGGTGAAGGTAGAATTGGGCCCTCACTGTGTTTGTCTGATTAATATCCTGCAGAGGAGGATAGCTTGGTTTATATGCTATGTATAAAATAATTTCCTTGTACTTGCTACTAATCTCAATGAGTGTCTCTTTGTTGTGTTATGAGACAGGACCCATAGAATCAGTTGGATTTCACTATAATTGTTATGATTGTATATAGTGCACTTCTGTCATATCCCCTTTTACTTTTCTGCCTTCCAGATTAAATTTAATCCTAATATTTTAAATCTCTTCTTGTGTCTAACCTGTACTCTTCCCTTTGCCTTACGTTGCTTCTCATTTCCTTGCCCTTCTTTATTGCAGCTCTGAGATAAAGCAACCACAAATGATTGCAGTATTTGAGGTTGGAAAGATTGATATAATGCCATCATATATTTCCCCTGTTATTCTCTATCCCTTTTGACTTTTTTTTCAGTTCTGCTGTGCATTGAGCTAATGTCTTCACAGAGTTCTCCCCAATGACACTTAGGACAGTAGCAGCTAATTCAGAACCCCATCAGCAGGCCAGATTCTTCTGTCGGTTTCACTGCCGTAAATCCAGATCAGTTCCACTGACGTGAATTGAATTAATCTAGATTTACACAGGTGTCTGAGATCAAAGTCTAGCTCAGTGTGTTCAAGCAGTGCACGCCCCTCCCCAACAAAATGTAGAACTGGCTATTCTTTTTCCTTGTTAATATTTCCAGTGCCTTTTATTGATGTTGAAAATGTAGATTTCGCCAGAGAATAGAATATGTATTTTTTTACTTATTGAAAGTTTACACTAATAAAGGAAAATATTTCTTCATTTGAAAACTCTTTGTATATGCTTGTACAATACCTCGCACAATGGGGGCCTGATCCTGACTGAGGAGTATGTGCATTATGGTAATATAAATATTAAATAATTATAATAAACGAAAGTTAACTGGCCTGATTCTGCAGGCTTTGTGAAGCTAGCACTTTCAATACAATCAGTGGGAGCTTGGGTGTGTTTAAGGGCTGCACGATAGGGCTCATAAAGTAGCCAAAACTAGGAAATAATCTCGTTCAGTGTGCATTGCCTTGCACTTACCTCCCTTGAATTTCATTTGCTGTCATAGTGCTCAGTCACTCACTTAGAGCCTTTCATTGAAGCCCATTGGTATTCTGTGGTGTGGGCAATACAGGATCGTTTGCAGCGATGTGTTTGATACTGGATAATAGGCTCATGGAATTTGTTTTTTGCCTTCAGTTACTTTTCATATATTTTAAGAAATATTTACCCAGAATTTGCATTTACATTTTTCTGAAAGTCGCTGAACTCCTATGATAAGGTTGCTCTTATTCATCTCAGTTTTGCTTCCAGTTAGTTTAGTCCATTATGGGCCTTATCCAAACGTGCAGTTGTCTGACTGTGGATACTGTCATAAAAGAATCTGTAAAGGAAGCTGGGACTAAAAATGATGTTAGGTGAAAACGCAAGTACATTACCTTTTTGTGTTTTGGAAAGCAAAAATACTGTGCTTCATGTCTTGGATAGGCCTGAGTTGATTGTTACTAATACTGTCGAGTTTTGTATTGTCTTTTTAGGGAAAACTGGCCATACAGAAGCGGTGCGAGTAGTATATCAGCCAGAAAACATCAGATTTCAGAAACTGCTCAAGGTCTTCTGGGAGAATCATGACCCGACACAAGGTAGAGTGATGAGTGAGCCAGTATTTAATTATCTTACTAATTACAGCTGGGATAATTAGTGTTTGAGCTGCATGGAAGAGATGAACCTTGAAATCACATGGGAGCTCAAGAATATGATTGCAGACATTTATTGACAGAGAGGGAGAGGGAAAGAGAGGGAGAATGAGGAGGTAGAAGCTCATAATACCCTTCCCCCTTTACAGCTGTCTGTGCTGGGAAAATTCCCACAGAGAGCGTGACTAGACAATAGAAAATCCTTTCACCTTTGATTATGACAATTTTTCCTTAATGCTATCTTTTGTCTCCTAAATTAAAGCATATTTCTCGGCAGCTTCAGAGCTGGCGATTTTACTCATGCATGGAAACTTTACCCTCCAAGAGTTTTACATTTTTCATCTTTTTTAAATTACTGTGGGTTTCTTTTATGATTAGAGAAAATGAGCAAAAGGAAGTAAGACAGGATGCTCAGAGGAACCACCAGCAGCAACGTATTAGCTTCTTGCCTTATTCAAGCATTTTGGTTTAATTTATCCTCCTTGGAAGTGGCAACATGATGATGTTATGCATATCTGCTCAAACAGAAATGATGAATTGTATTGAGAAAACATTTCACATGTGTGTGTATATAGTTTCAATAAACATCAACTCCAATATGATGCCCTGAAATATTACATACAAATAATTCGTTTCCACTTTCTCAACCTTTTTCACTAGTGTTGTCTTACATTTACCTATCTGGTTAATATTAAAAAGGACACTCTTAAGAGGGGAGAGTGGGGATGTGTTCTCTCCTCTGATGACCTCCTGCAGACCTCAGTTTTAGTAACTGGAGAGGACACTGGGGAACTCTGTATGTGGGGCAAGAGGGAAAGAGTCCCTTTATCAGGAGATGTGGGAGACACATATCTCTTGAATATTTGGAGATCTGCTTCCTTGGGGTTTCAGTCCAGTTCACAGTAGACAAGAAAGAACATTAAAAAAAACCTGGCACCCTTTTCAGGTTGAACCTTCTTCTGGTCAGCTGGTAACTTTTATTTCTGATCCATATGTGTCTGTTTCATTTATGGCCTGATCCTAAAAACCTCTACTCACAGGAGTAGTCCCATGTGCAGAACCACTATCTTCAAATGGGACTATTTGTGTGAGAAGGAGCTATACCTGTGAGTTAGAGTACACAGAGTCAGGTCCTTACATTGTAAGGTTTCTTTTTGCATTACAGGATACAGGCTGGAACATACCAATGTTCAATGCATTAAGAATAAGTTTACATCAGAAAAAATACCACCACAGTTGGCCACCTAGTTGGCAGTCTCATCAGTGAGCTCATGGATTGAATAGCATGGAGGCTAAGCTAATGTCTCACTCCTAGAAGTGTTCTAGCTAAGTCAGGGTTGTGGCATGTTGATGGAGACATGTGGGAAAGTTTGTACTGCCACTGTCTGTGTTATACCTGTTCTGTGTATAAATACTGAACTTCTTCTATAACAGAGGTTCCCCAAACTGATCTGGTGATGCACAGAGAGATGGCTGGTCACATGGTGATGACTTCTTTTTTGCCCCCAGCAGCCAGATCACATTAAAGGGGTGGTATTCATAAGATGCTCTTGGTATTTAAATGTGGCCCATGCTGTGAAAAAGGTTCAGAACCTCTAATCTAGCAGTTTTCACAGGCATTAAATTTAAACATCAGATATAGTTTTTGTTGAAGTTGAGCAGAAACCTTTTTCTCACTATCTGGATGTCTGAATATTTCGAAGCAGCTTCCCACAGTGCATAGAATCATAGCTGTCTAGAGCTGGAAGGGGTCTCGAGAATTATCTAGAACGTGTTTGTGTAACCTGTTCTTAAAAACCTCCAATAATGGGGATTCTACAACCTCCCTTGGTAACTTCTTCCAGTACTTAATTATACTTATAGTTAGATATTAGGAAACATTTTCTAACCTAAATCTCCCTTGCTGCAGATTAAGCTGATTACTTGTCCTATCTTCAGTGGACAAGGAAAGCAATTGATTGCCATCCTCTTAATAAAAGTCCTTAACATACTTGAAGACTTATTAGATCATCCTTCAGTCCTCTCTTCTCAGTAAAGACTAAACATGCCCAGTTTTTTTTTAACTTTTCTTCACAGATCAGGCTTTTAAAATCTTTTGTATCTTTCCTTTGGACTCCCTCCAGTTTGTCCACATCTTTCTTAAAATGTGGACACAGTTCTTCATCTGAGGCCTCACCACTGCCCAGCAGAGCAGGGCAATTACCTCCTGTGTCTAATGTACAACACTCCTGTTAATACACCCCCGAATATTAGCCTTTTTCACAAATGCCCCACACTGCTGGCTGAGATTCAATTTGTGATCCACTATACCCCCCAGATCGTCTTCTGAAGTACTACTGCCTATCCAGTTATTCTCCATATTGTATTTGAGTTTTTCTTCCTCAGGGTAGTACTTTGCACTTGTCTTTATTGAATTTCATCTTGAAGAACTGATCTGAAATCAATTTATCAAAATCATTTTAAAGTCTATTTCTGTCCTCCAAAATGCTTGCAACCCTTCTCAGCTTGGTGTCATCCACAGATTTTATAAGCATACTCTCTGCTCCATCATCCAGCACCAGATCTCAAGAGAATTCAGTATCAGGCCAGAGACTCTAAAAAGTAGAGCCTTTTAAAATGATAGAATAATAGAAAATTAGGGTTGGAAGAGACCTCAGGAGGTCATCTAGTCCAACTCCCTGCTCAAAGCAGGACCAACCCCAACTAAATCATCCCAGCCAGGGCTGTGTCAAGCCGGGCCTTAAAAGGCTAGAGTTTCCACCACCTCCCTAGGTAACCCATTCCAGTGCTTCACCACCCTCCTAGTGAAATAGTGGTTCCTAATATCCAACCTAGACCTCCCCTACTGCAACTTAAAACCATTGCTCCTTGTTCTGTCATCTGCCACCACTGAGAACAGCCGAGCTCCATACTCTTTGGAACCCCCCTTTAGGTAGTTGAAGGCTGCTATCAAATCCCCCCTCACTCTTCTCTTCTGAAGACTAAATAAGCCCAGTTCTCTCAGCCTCTCCTCGTAAGTCATGTGCCCCAGCCCCCTAATCATTTTAGTTGCCCCCTGCTGGACTCTCTCCAATTTGTCAACATCCTTTCTGTAGTGGGGGGCCCAAACTGGATGCAACACTCCAGATGTGGCCTGACTAGTGCCGAATAGAGGGGAATAATCACTTCCCTCGATCTGCTGGCAATGCTCCTACTAATGCAGCCCAATATGCCGTTAGCCTTCTTGGCAACAAGGACACACTGTTGACTCATATCCAGCGTCTCATCCACTGTAATCCCCAGGTCCTTTTCTGCAGAACTGCCGCTTAGCCAGTTGGTCCCCAGCCTGTCGCAGTGTATGGGATTCTTCCATCCTAAGTGCAGGTCTCTGCACTTGTCCTTGTTAAACCTCATCAGATTTCTTTCAGCCCAAACCTTCAATTTGTCTAGGTCACTCGGGACCCTATCCCTACCCTCCAGTGTATCTACCTCTCCCCACAGCTTAGTGTCATCCGTGAACTTGCTGAGAGTGCAATCTATCCCATCATTCAGATCATTAATGAAGATGTTGAACAAAACCGGCCCCAGGACCGACCCCTGGGCCACTCCACTTGATACCGGCTACCAACTAGATATCGAGCCGTTAATCACTACCCGTTGAGCCCGCTGATCTAGTCACCTTTCTATCCACCTTATAGTTCATTCATCCAGCCCATACTTTTTTAACTTGCTGGCAATACTACTGTGGGAGACCATATCCAAAGCTTTGCTAAAGTCAAGATATTTCATGTCCACCACTTTCTCCATATCCACAGAGCTTTCTGTATTGTTCTTAACTTTACTGTGCCTCATCTTGTGAAATAAAAAAGTCTTTACACACCTATGAGTGCTTGGTTTTGAGGGTGCTGTCTAGTGTGACCACCTGGATCTCTGTGGTGACAACGGGGGATGTAACTCACATCCTTCCACCAAAAAAAAGATAGGCCCCTGCTATAACCCCTTTGGAGTTGAGAGAGCATGGCCCTCTAAATCTTTTTCCTGAGGGGGGGAAGTGCTGATTGTTCCAGAAGGAGGAAGTGCTGTTGGGGGGAAGGGGAGCAGAGAGAGAGGGAAGAGCAAGAAGGTGTGTGTCTGGAGCTCCAGACAGAAGGGCTGCAGCAAGCAGGCCCTCACAGAGTGAAGCAGCCAAGAACCTGCTGAAGCCTGGGAGGGACAGAGCAGCTGATCGGGGACACCCCAGGACAGGAGCCAGGAGGAGCATTGTGCCAGGGAGGAATCGCCCGAGAAGGACAGGCCGGAACTGGACCCAGAATCACTGCTGCCCAGAGCTGCATGGGGCTGTGAGTACTGGGGCTTGTGACTCTGCACTGGGAATAAGGAGGGAGGCTGTTAGCTTGTTAAGCTTGGGGAGGTGGTCGCTCTGTGTGGCTTTGCAGAGAGCGGCAGAAGAGGGCACTGGAGGGGTTTGTTGGAGAAAGTTCACTGGCGCCGAAGACAGCCAGGAGCACCCAAGACTCACCACTGGACTGGACTTTGCCCAGGACTCTTGAACTCTGTGTGCAGACACATTGCTTGGTGCAGACTGTGGTACCACTGGGCCTGTGGGGCCTTGTGTTGAATGCAACCCTGTTTTACTGCTTCCCCTATATTTCCCCCTGTTGTTTTTCCCCTGTCCTCATTCTGTGAATAAATATTTCCCTTTCCTATATTCATTGTACTTTTCTGGTGTGTGTGTGTGTGTTCACTTTGGGGGGGTTGGAACAGGTGCCCCTGGGGGGGAAGGGACTTTCCCTGCTGCGTTCCTGTGCGGGCCTTCTCTTGGCCAGACCTACCTGCAGAGCAGATTCCATCTTGGCCACAAGGTGCTAAAGTTACAGTGCCATTTGAGGTAAAGGAGAATCTCCATTAGTTGCTGTAACGTACACTTTGACATGTCACTGTGCTGCTTTGATGTCATCCAGTGGATT